ACACACACACACACACACACACACACACACACACACACACACACACATTAACACACCTGGACTGACCTGCTTGTGTGTGTGTAGGTCCAGTGAGCGGATCCAGAGGGCTCTGATGGACAATGACTTCATGAAACATCTGGAACACGGGCAGGTAGAGACACGTCTGTGATGCTTTTTAATGGACTTCTGTCATGTGTTTGATTTTAACAAACATCTGTTGGCTCGTGTGTTCAGATCCTCACCATCATGGACTGCATGCATCCAACCAGCCTCACCAAAGGCTGCTGTGTCATCCAGGAGGGAGACGACGGCTCCACGGTCTACGTCCTGGAGGGTAAGAATCCTCCACTGGTCAGTCAAACTGGGATTATTTCAGATGATATTGTAATGTGCTAATCTAATTTCTCTCAATCTCTAGTTTCAAGTCTTCTTCAATACAGCATGATGTTCATTTAGTACATTATGGTCCATTTAGAGTCACACAGACCATAAAGCAGGGGATGCTTTAGGGCGGGGCTACACGATGATTGACAGGTCTCTACCAGAGCATTTCGGTCTTTCAACATTAACCCTTTCACAGTTTGTTTTCACTTCATGGAAGTTAGTTTGGTCGCCTACAAATGTCTTATTCAGCGTTCGGTTGAACTTAGCTCCGCCCTCTTGTGTCACATCTGGTTGCAAAAAAACAAGATGGCGACGGACAAAAAACGAAATGGCCAAGGAAAAAAAAACAAATTGGCGAAAGAAAAATCCAAGATGGCGACGACCACAAACTAAGTTGGTGACAAATGAAAAACGGCAATGGAGAAAAAACCAAGATGGCGATGAACAAACATTAAGAAGGGACGTACCAAACTCTTCACTCAAGGCTTCAAAATGGCAGTCCACGAACCAATGTGTGACATCACTGTGACTATCTACATTAATGCGGCAGTAATATTTAACCCAGAAACTGTAGAAACATGGCGGCTCAACATGGCCGACTCCATGAAGAGGAGCCGCTCTGTACGTAGATGTAAACGTCTCATCCACAAACAACGAAAACACAAAGATTCTTCGTTTCAGGGGATTATACACTAAAGAAAACATTTCTAATCATATCTTCCATTTCTGTTAGAAGATCCCCCTAAATGCTGCACACAATTCCTCAAAGTACATTTTTACTTTTGAATGCAGTACTTATACTCCCTAGAGTAGTAGTAGTAGTACTTTTACCAAAGAAAAGGATCCGATTACTTCTATTTCACTAAATGTCACCAGAGGAAGAGTCAGCGGGTCACCAACAACATTTGGTTCATCCTCTGGGGAACATAATCATCCACATAATCCAATCTGTCTGCTAGTTATCAGTATTTTTGCGCTTGCCACTACAGCATGAAGAACTCCCTCTCTCTCTGGACTCGTGCTCGTTCTGCTCAGCGGGACAAAAGTAATCCAAGGTGAGGACACTGAATTGGACTGATATGGACAGACAGCCCATTTGTCCCAGCTCAGGCGACATCAGATTACAAAACAGCCGGCGTAAACAGAAGCTCCATCAGAGACATGATGTGACACAAAGTAAAACATGTAGACAATAGCAGGAGGAGATGCATAATAATGAGCCGGTGGTGGAGGCGACGTATAAATGGACAGAAAACTAGAGGCTTCATCTTCAGTCACATGCTGCTGACACCTTCTTCCCACTCAAGGACGGCCGGTCCGTCACACTGAAAGACTTCTCGTTCTGTCGTTGTGCTGCCCCCTCGTCTCTGTCGCCAGAAGGCCTGTTTTACAATCAGAAGGTTGTTCAGTTTCATCTCTTTCAGCTCTGAACTGAAGCTCGAAGGCTTCAGTTGAGGCGTTTTAGTGCGGATGGATTTGTTTACAGCGTGATCTCTGCTCCGTCTCTTCACGTGGGTTTATTTATATCGCTCATCGCTCGTCGGTCAGGCACTTCAGATGGAAAAAGTGGATTCATTTGGATACATTATTTGTGTTTTTGAGTGAAATATCTCAACAACTGTTGGATGTATTGCCAAGATCTTTTGTAAAGACATTCATGTTCCCCAGATGATAAATCCTTCTGACTTTGGTGACCCTTTGAATTTTCCTCGAGCACCATCAGCAGGTTGAAATGTGTGGTATTGTGTGAAACATCTCAACAACTATCAGGTCGATTGTGATGAAAATGTGGTTCATCGTTCATGTTCCCCTCAGGATGAATCACAATCAGTTTTGGTGATCCTCGTCTAGCGCCATCATAAGGTCAACATGTTAACCTTCTCGCAGTATCAAAGGATCACACGAGAATCGTTAAAGCTGCATTCAAACAGACCATAAAGCAGGGGATGCTTAAGGGCGGGGCTACACGGTGATTGACAGGTCTCTACCAGAGACGTATACGTATAAAAACAAGATGCGACGGCCAAAACGTCAAACTGGAGGCTTCAAAACCACACAAACCAACAAGGTGGTGTTCCAGTTGAAATGTCTAACTGGGAACTAGGAAACCTTACTTTTAAGTTATCAACATCACTATTATTTATATCCCAGTCTGTCAAATACACTTTCAGAATCTCTCTTTGTGACTGTTTTTGCGATGAGGCTTATTTGCGTATAACTCTGCATATTACCACATTCACAGTCGGTGTTCTGCTGTTTGTTCACAGAGGGGATGGTGGAGGTGACCAAACAAGGGAAGAAACTGTGCTCCATCGGTGAGGGCAAAGTGTTTGGAGAACTGGCCATCCTGTACAACTGCACTCGCACTGCAACTGTAACAGGTAACACACACACATTTATCACACATCTACACTTCAATATTCCAATCATCTTTATACCAATCTGATGCTCAGAAATGGTTTAAAAACTGCCCACGAGTTTGTCGACTCAATGACCCTCAAAGAACCAGCGAAGGCCACGACTGTGCACAAAGAAATTAAATGAATAAATCAGTGAACATGAATCATTTGTTCATCCGGTGACAGATAATGAAGCTGTGATGAAGGTCGACCACACTCATCACCTGTAGAGTCTGATACATAAACTCCATCTGTCTGCACGGCTTCCTCTTTCAGAAGGAAAAAACACAGAAAAATAAACAGATTTTATTACTTATATCTTCTAAAGACATTTTCCTGCTTTCAGAAACGTGGTTTTCCTGCGAAATCTTATCTCAAAACGTGAATTAATAAAACTATCACCATGATTAGATTTGAGATTTGGATGAACTAGCCCTTTAAAATAACATCTTTCTGGGTCTAAAGTGAAACTATGAGGTTTCTGTACGAAGATATAACAAGTTAAGTAGTCACCTGCGCTCAGAGCACGGCTAGCTGTCCCCCCCCCCCGTTTCCAGTCTTTATGCTAAGCTAAGCTAACTGGCTGTTTCATATTAACCACACTAAAGAGTGGCATCAATCCTCTCATCACAGTAGAAGCATATTTTCCAAGTGTCCAGCTATTTCTTTAAAAGGGAATTTATTTGAATAATTACATTTAAAAGACATATTCTGGTATAAATACACTTAAAACATCTTTTGATATATATTTAGCATATAAGATATCTGGACAAATACCTCAGAGACACATGTTCAGACAGTAAATATGTTTTTTTCTTATTCCACTGTGTCTTCAGACGTTCACTCTTCACCTCTCAACACTCTGCAGGTTCACACGTTGCATTTCTAATCCATTTATTTCACCGTCTGACAGTCGAGCTTCAGGTGACGGATCGGCTTTAAGTGTGTGTGTGTGTGTGTGTGTGTGTCACTTTGATCCCTAAACGCTGACTGATAAAACGGTTTTCTGGATCTCTGACGTGACTTTGTTTCGCTGCTTCTGGGCCGTGTGAGTTATTTTATTTAAATGAGGTTCTGAACTCGGTTTCTCTCAGCGAGCGTCCTCGTGTCGCTCAATGTCATCCGACCGAGAGAAGAGAGAGCACTAAAGAAATCAGCCTCTCCATCGCATTCATGTTCTTCTCTGCAATGAGAACAGAATGTTTTCACTTTGACATTTAACTCAAACCATCTTTCTCCAAGAGTTTCTGACCAAAACCAATGAAACGAGTAAAGACTGTTTGTGACCATTGATCTCCATTAAAACACATCAGTGAGCCTCACTGTTGTTCCTTCATCACCATCAACAGTCTATTCTGACTCATGCACATACAAATACTCACTAGAGCAGCAAATGTGGATTCATCCGCCGCTGAAAATAGTCCCCAAAATGTACTTCCTCCTGTTTGTTTGATTATAAACTACAGAGAATCACTGATGGAACGATATCATCTGTGTTGTTAAAGATTAAAGACCGTGTTGAGAGACGGACCAACATGTTGAGTTTTCATGGGATTTGGTCGGTGGTGCGTTACAATGTGGACTCTTTTAGATATTTATTCATTTATTTAATTTTCTCAAACACAGAGCAGTCTACAGGAGGAAATTCAGAATTTGAAAAAAAGAAAGAAAAAGTGATGATAAAATAATCCCACCATCGTACCAGATAAGAGCCAGAACGACAAACAATAATACCAGAGAAGAAGAAAGAGAAAGAAGAAGAAATACACACAAAATGTTCAGACATTGAGTGGCATCAATTCTATAATTATGAATATAGTGAAGAGAAGAGGACCCAGAATAGGACCCTGCGGGACGCCTCTATGACCTGAAATTGTTTTATTCTACATTTTTCTCGTCTGTTTTTGATGCATCAGTATTTTAAAATGCTGACAAAACAAATATAAATGAAGGTCACTGAAGATTCAAATCATCACCAACTAAATAATTCTGTCTGCAGCTCTGACCGACATCAAGCTGTGGGCGATCGACCGACAGGGTTTCCAGACCATCATGATGAGAACTGGTCTCATCAAACACTCCCAGTACATGGACTTCCTCCGCAGGTAACACACACACACGCGCACACACGCAAACACACATATATAATCCTCCACTTCACTGGTTGAAGAACCTCTCCACATGATGACTCGCATCTCTCTGAACTCTCCTCCTCAGCGTTCCCTCGTTTCAGTCTCTACCGGAGGACGTTCTCAGCAAACTGGCCGATGTTTTAGAGGAGGTGACGATTTACAAAAAACACACTTTTCTATAATAAGCTCGAGATGTTACAGCATCTGTTTCTGCAATCAAAACTCTGTGTTCAGTAATCCTGAGGTGTACACATGACTCTCATCCTCCCTCAGACTCATTACAGCGACTGTGATTACATCATCCGTCAGGGAGCCACCGGAGACACATTCTTCATCATCAGTGAAGGACAGGTGAGGAGGACAGATATGTTAGGAGGGAGAAAAGAGAGCAATTAGCAGAGAGGGGAAGAAGAAGGAGGAGGAGGAGGAGGAGGAGGAAGTCAGGGTCGTCGTCCATTTCTAAAAAGTGAAAGAATTGATGTAAAGTTGTGAGAACTGAGGAGAGGTTCAACGTGTCTGAGTTATGTTTTGGGTATTGGTTGGTTCTGTCGAGTGAAGCCGATGCTGAAGAGTCCAGAGGAGTTGCAAGAAGTCCTCTGATTCTTCTTGTGCAGCTCAGGTTGAGTTTTACTAGAAATGAAACCTCTGTGGACTAATAGCTCTCAATATGAAGAGTAATAGTTGACCTGGTCTGTGGTCAGCAGAGTCCTAACAACAGTTTTACAGACTTTTATTTTGGAGGTCTATGGGGCGGAAGTAGTTTTTGGGCTACAGGGAGAGCTTTCAGTCGTGTGCAACATGTGACTAAAAGATCAAATAAATATATTGATCTGTGACGTCGACAGGTGAAGGTCTCCCAGCAGAACTCCCCCAGTGAGGAGCAGCTGGTGGTGAAGACGCTCTCTAAAGGAGACTGGTTTGGAGAACAAGCTCTGAAAGGGTGACACACACACACACACACATGCTTCATCATTCTACTCTACTGTCCTCTAGTGGCTGTATGAATTATGACCGTTATCTCACATTTAAATCCTCCACAGAACACTGAGGAGCTTTAAAGTGACAGAGATGAACTTTTATCTGGTCCTGAACCAGACTCAGTGTAGTCCTGATCCTCTATGAACCAGTCTCAGTTTAGTCCTGTGTTGGTTCTGTCGCCCCCTGTGGACTAAAGTGGTAGTGTCTCTGAGCACCAGAGTCCCTTTAGAAAACCTCTCATGTTACTGCAGCAGGGTCTGACAGTCTGCTCCTCTCAGTCCTGGTTCTGGTTCTCCTGTGCCTCCCTTCCCTCCAGCGGGTCCAGAAACACGTCCTGGGTCTCCACTTCTGGAGGATCTGGAATCAACTGAGACTGGTTCAAGACCAGTCAGAAGTTCCTCACTGTCACTATTTCTGTACTTTTACTGCAGTAAATGATCCGAGTACTTATTCCTGTCTCCTGTGTCCTGTGTCCTGTCTCCTGTGTCCTGTCTCCTGTGTCCTGTCTCCTGTGTCCTGTGTCCTGTTGGCAGTGAGGACGTCCGTACAGCCAGCCTCACCGCTGTGGGAGACGTCACATGTCTGGTCATTGACAGAGAGTGAGTGAACGTCTCTGGTGTTTAGTTCTGCGGTTCAGTTTGTTCCTTTAACAGAAATAAGAAGCTTTGTTTGTGTCGCAGGTCCTTCAAACAGCTGATCGGAGGACTGGATGACGACAACAACAAGCAGTGTGACAGTGACGAGGTCGAGGCCCAGTGAGTGCTCAGAGGTTTAAAGACACTTAAGTCACTTTTAAACAATACTGGAACATAAATAATACAAAATATGATAAATTAATTAATGTATTACAGTAATACAAAAAGTAATGATTCTTTACTGGCTGAAAGATTAAAGTAATGTACATATTAATGCACCAATAATATAAAAATACTTTGACTTAAAGCTTCAGTGGTTCACTATAATAACAATAATCTGTCTCCATCCTCACAGAAGAACAAGAGAAAGTTACCGACTGTCCCTTTCATGTGTGTCCTGTAGTATTCAGGCAGAAGCAGATTTATTCTCCAGAGTGTCGCTCAGTGATTTCAACGTCATCTGCACTCTGGGGATGGGCGGCTTCAGCCGCGTGGAGCTGGTGAGTAACGTTGTGTGTGAAGAAGCTCTGCTCTCCTCTGCGTACTGATGGTTCTTGTGTTCAGGTGCAACTAAAGAACGATCCCAACCGCTCGTTCGCCCTGAAGGTGTTAAAGAAACGTCACATCATGGACACCAGCCAGCAGGGCCACATCCTGTCAGAGCGGCGCATCATGATGGAGGCTCACAGCTCCTTCATCATCAGGTCTTCTTCTTCTTCTTCTTCTTCTTCTTCTCCTTTATGTTCCCACCTTGGTGCTGTTATATTTGAAATAGTTCTGTGTTATAGTCCTGAGATTTTTAGGCACATTTCGTGACATATGAACCTTCAACTTGAGAGTAAACGATAAAGAAGTGTGTGAAAAGGGTCAGAATATGATATTATAATATCTAGACCCAGCGTCCAACATACATAAACCCTATTTAATGTTATTCTACATTAAATGTGACACATTCTGCTTATACTACGACAAATATTCGTCCTCTTACACAAGAAGAGTTAATTTCATGAATAATAAAAGACACTTTGTCTGATACGAAGAGTTAACCATGTGAGAGCAAAAGGCCCTTTAACAGCATACCGTCAGGTGATTGGATGAACCGTCTGTCAATCAAACTCTTTCAACGTAGGACAAAATAAATAAAGCAGTGAAGAGAATAAACAAAACCCGGAGATCATGACCGGTGCAAATTCACGTGTTCCAACTTCACTAGAATTTAACTAAATGACAAAATGTAGACATTTATTTTGTCCCTACAAACAAATTTGAAATTAAAGCTGCATTCTCTCTAGTGACCACCAGGGGGCGACTCCTCTGGTTGTATAGAAGTCTATGAGAAAAT